TAGAGGGCCGGGGCGCGAAGCCTCAGCTAGCGACGGCGAGTTGGGCCCCGACCGGCGCCGTGTCCTGCAGACGCCATCTCTTTTCCTCCCCCCCGCAAATCCACGAAGAAGGCGCTGGTCTTGTCCCCGTGCGACAGACGAGAAGCTGAGCCTCAGAGAGGCGAGATGACGTCGCCCGATGTGGCACAAGGCGCCACCGGCCGACCGGGGATCCTCAGCCCCCGAGACCCGCTGCCGTCGCGAGGCTGCCGTTCCTGGGCAGCGACTGGATCACAGTTAGGGCTGCCAGATGTGGCAAATAAAAATCGCCCCGGCTGGCCGGGCTCGGCGGCTCGGCCGGTCATCCCGCGCCTTTGGGAGGCTGAGGTGAGTGGATTGCCTGAGCCCGCGGGTTCGAGACCCGCCTGGGCAGCGAGACCTCATCTCTACAATAAACCAAAAACTCAGCTAGGCGTGGTAGCACATGCCTGTAATTCCGGCTACTCGGAAGGCGGAGGCGGAAGGATCGCCGGAGCCCAGCAGGTCGAGGCTGCGGTGGCCGGGAGCGGCCACTGCACTCCAGTCTGGGCGACAGAGTGAGACTCAGACTCAAAAACAAACAAAAAAAACCGCCTCATTGTTTAACTGGGAGGATTTGTCTGGTTAATACTGAGAAAGCGTTTAGAATCCTGCCCATGTTGGCGGCTGTGACCCCTCTGGGGAGATAGTGTGCGATTCTCAGCTCACACACAGAGACGTGGTTGTGTGTCAGGAAGTGCAGATCGGAAGAGATGGCCTCCTCTCCTTTCCTGCGCTAGTAGGGAAGAATTGGAGTTTCATCGGAAAACTATGCATTATAGAGCAGCAATTCTCAACGACGGGCAGTTTTGCCCCTCATCCCACCACAGGGGACATTTGGCGATTGGCTATTGTCACAGCTGGGAGGTGAGGAGCTACTGGCCTCTACTGGGCAGACGCCAGGGATGCCGCTAAAACTTATCTTACAACGTTCAGGACAGTTCCCCACCAAAAAATTTTAAAAAATTAAAAGATTTAGTCCAAAATGTTAATAACGCTGAGGCTGAGAAAGCTTAGCTTAGGGAACTCCTTCCAGGTTATCTGGTTCTAGCCTTTCACAGGTTTTGAGTTATTTTGTAACTCTAAGTTGTAGATAACTGTAGCAATGCAAAATAACTTTTCTACAGATATTCTGTCCAGTAGAGGGACTACTTCCCGTGCTGTGGAGAAGTCAGACTTTTTTTTTTTTTTTAAGTCTATTTGCACATTCAATTTCAACATTTTTTATTTGAATTGTGCTTTTCTCACTTGTTTTTGAACCAGTTATAACATCTACCAGGTTACCTCATTGAATCAATGAGTTAAATGAAATATTTTAAAAGTATTCATTTTATATCAATATGAGAGCCATGATTTTACCTTTTTTTAAAAAAATTATCTTTGTCAGTGTTATCCCCCTGCCCCATCTATTCTCATTCTTGATCACAGGTCACAGTTGCCCTTTACATGCTCCCTGCTTTGCCTGACCAAACTTCAGTCAGGTTTCTCTCTCTTGCAGATCCCTGAACTCTGAGCAAGTTCAGGGACAGTGGAGTGTCCCTCGCACCCCATCATTTTCTCCTGGGAGTCGGCTGAACATGGCGAGACCTATTTTCAGTCAGACCCCACTGCTCATTTTCCACTTCCCCTGCTTGTCCAGGCTCCCCTCCAAAGAGCCTGCTTATGTCTGCCGGCCTCTCCTTTACCCTATAAAAGAAAGGCCCTCTTCTGTTTTATTTTGAGATGCTTGTGAATTCTCTCCATTGCAATAACCTTTCTTTCTAATGAAGGTGTCTCCTTATCAAAGTTCAGATTTGCTTTTATTTGACGTCCTCCATCTCCTATTTGCAAGTCTGGGCATGCTGCCTGATGGGCAGATACCACTGCCTGCCACCGGGTTCTGCTTTCTGAACCCTTGAATGAGATGGGGACAGGGGTTCCATTGTGTCATGGTCAGCATTCTGGACTCTGAATGCAGAGGTGGAGACACAGGCATTCATGTCTAGTTCGAGGGTTTCTGGGGCAAGGGTTTTATGCAACCATTGTAATTGAGAACAGAGGAAAGAGACAACTCTTTCTCCTGGAAACTGTTTATTTGTTCCACTGTCTGACTTCCATTGGCCCCACCCTGGTTTCTTCTGGGCTTCAGGCCCTTGGGAGAAATCTTGTCCACCTGCCCAGTGGGGCAGAGCTCAGATTTCTCCTGTTGATGTTCTCAAGGATGGCTTATCTCTGGAGGAAGAGCCTCCTTTCAGGTAAGTGGAGATGGTTTCTCTCCTAAGTCTTTTTTAGACAAATGGGCACACCTGATGTATCATTCCAGTCAAACCCAAAGCTTTGCACAGCCCTGGGACAGAAGAGTCTCCTGGCTCGTCCTGAACTTCCTCTTCTCCGGCTGGGGACACCCTCTGAGGTGCAGCTGACGCTGCCAGCCTTCTAGGGCACACCTCACACAAGCTCCATTCACATGGGGCCTCAGGCTGCCCTGTGCCACCAAAACGTATTTGCAAACATGCACAACTGTTACTGCCCCCAACCCCTTGGACAAGGTCCAGGGTTTCAACCTGACTAAACACAGTTCTTTGTACTTCGTAATGCCTCTCACACTGGTATCTCACTGGACCCAGCAAGATCTCCTCTTTCTTTGACCACACAAGCCCTTTCATAGAAACACATGGGCACAGACAGACACACACACCATGGGCACCTCACTGGAAAACCTTCCTGGAGTGAGTCATCTGGCTCTGTGGCCAGTGGTGAGTCAGAAGCAGCTGGGACAATACAAAACTCCCTGGGTCTGGGCCTCAGGCCTTGTGAGTTAATGAGAGAGAGAGAGAGAGAGAGACAGAGAGAGAGAGACAGACAGACACAGACATAGATTCAGAGAAAGGGAGAGGGAGAGAGAGGAAAGAGAGAAGGAAGGGGGAGAGACAGAGAAAGAGATAGGGAAAGAGAGAGACACACTCAGAGACAGAGAGACACACACACAGAGATGTGGGAAAGACAAAGAGAAAAGAGAGACAGAGACAGAGAGGCACATACATAGAGACAGAGAGACACAGAGAAAGAGGGAGAGAGAGGAAAGGGAAATGGGGGGGAGAGAGAAGAAAAAGAGAGAGGGAGGGATAGAGAATGTGTGTCTCAGAGGGTCATAGCAAGGGAATCTTTCTGTCCCTCCTTTCTTTAGACTGTTTTCTCTAGGTGAGTATGTAGCATGTGGGCCATACCAGCCTCATGGCCCTGGATGTTTGTGGCCTCTCAGAGGCACATTCTGCAAGTTCTGGAGCTACTCCCAAAGCTTCCTTTTATGTCTTGCAGCCAAGCCCTGAACTCCATGCTTTACACTCATTGCACACGTCATCTTCACAGCTGGTCCAGGGAGACTTTTTATTTTTTTGAGTTGGAGTCTCACTCCGTCTCTCGGGCTGGAGTGCAGTGGCACATTCACAGCCACCCCACATCGACCTGCTGGGCTCCGGCAATCCTTTTGCCTCAGCCTTCCAAGCAGCTGGAACTACAGACGCAAACTACCACACCCGGCTAATTTTTTATTTATTGTTTAGACGAAGTCACCAAGTTGCCTAGGCTGGTCTCGAACCAGTGGGCTCAGGCAATTCACTCGCCTCGGGCTCCCAAAGTGCTGGGATTACAGGCTGAGCCACCAAGCCTGGGGATCTTATTTCCTCATTTACGGATGAGAAAACTGAGCCCCAGCTAAGAGGCAGCCAGCATGCTCTCGAGTCAGCTTGGCTTCTATCCGCAGACCACGGTCCTCTGGGGTCTCTCTCTTCCCAGCTCAGGAGGTCAGTGGGAACAGCAGGTCCAGGCTGAGGAAAAGTTCATGTTTCCCTTCCCTCCCTCTTTCAGATCTGTGATCTGCATCCAAAGGAGATCAGAGAGAATATGAATTCTGCAAGGCGGTAAAGAACAGTTTTGTTTGAGCAGAGATTTCTTTCTCTCTTAGAGCGATTGCAGGGTTTATTCTTTCCTTATGACTGCAGCGTAGATATTGGACAGGGCTACTAGATGCCACTCAGCAGGGAGGGGCTTCCAGAGGGATCCCTATAGCCGAAGAGGAGACAGGATGATTTCTCCCTGGTGTTGCAAAAGATGGGAGGTGCTGAGAGCAGAGGAGAGAGGAGAGCTATGGCAAGAAAGCTTGTGGCAAGTCAGACAGTTTCCCGGGTCCTTTGTTTCTTTTTCCAGTCTGTTGGAGCTTAGGGTATCACATCCTGTCCTTGCCAAGAGACTGGAGCCAAAGCTGCTGCCCTCACCCACCCAATGCGTCCTCTGGGAGGGGATTTCATAGCAGGATCCCCAAATAATAGCTTTGCTAATAATAAATGATGTCTTGTGTTTGTGGAATCCCTTGCAGTTTTCAAAATACTAACACTTTCCCTCATCTCTTAAAATGGGAAAATGACATCTACTCTGCATATTTTGCAGTGTTGCTACAAGTGTCAAATGACAATGCATGTGACATCATTTGGAGAATGGTACAACTTAGATGCTATCATTGTTCTCATCATCAACAATGGCACCTGACCAGGTATGGTGGCTCATGCCTGTAATCCCAACACTTTGGAAGACTGATGCGGGAGTATTGCTTGAGCCCGGGAGTTCAAGACCAACCTGGGCAACATAGTAAGACCTCATCTCTATTAAAAATAAAAAAATGAACTGGGCATGGTGGCGTGTGCCTGCCGTCCCAGCTACTTGGGAGACTGAGGTAGAAGGATTGCCTGAGCGTAGGAGGATCATGCCACTGCACTCTGGGTGACAGAGTGAGACCCAAACACAAAGCAAAACAAAACAAAGCAAAAAAAAAAAAATGGCACCTTTCTTCTAGAAGAACACGAATACTCGATATCTGAAAGCAAGTCCTCTATTTTCACACTTACTGATGCAAGGAACAAATATAGAGAGGTATAGTTTTCTCTACTCCATGGGAAGTGATAAACTCAGATGTCAGCACCTCAGGGTGCTTGGAAGAGGGGTTGGCCCCACCCATACTTTCCATCAGCAGTACCCCCAAGCTCCCCCAAATAAATACAACTCTAAGCCAAAACAGGGTGCTTACTAAGCACAAATAATAGCTACAACACACGCCCTCAATTCCCTGCCACAAACTTCCTCTACCATTCACGTTTTAAAAATCCCTAAATCTCTCCCTCATAGAAATTCTAGAACTGCCCCAGATATATGCTCATGTTCATGGAGTAAGAAGGCCAAGGTAGCACTTGGCTGCTTTGCCCTCCCAAGTCTGTGCTCTTGGGTCAGTGTGCCATTTTCCCCAACGCTGGTAGTT